TGTAATATTTTCCCTATAATTATACAAAAACACAAAATAAGTATAAATAAGTATTTATATTTGTGTACAAGCTGTTTAGATTGTCAAAAAGCCTGTGTTTTTACAGTTATTAATGAAGTTCGTGTACTCAGACCAGTAATATTTGGGGTCACAAGTTTTTGCCATGGATGTTTAGTGGGTCAGAAGATAAAAAGTTTGGGAACCACTGCCCAAGCTAAGCTAACTATTGATATTTACACCTATAAAGTGATAAGAGATTAGATTATAAAGAAATGTTAGCCTCTAAGCTAGGCTAAATAACGTTTTATATTTACATCTACCAATATATAGGGGTAAAATAAAAAAGTTAGAATATAAACAAAAGTTGAAGCTAAGGCTTTTCTTCAGCTGTRCTCTGTTGGCAGCCGAAGAGAGCTCCAGTCGTGAGGTCACAGCCTTAAGATGGTAACGGCAGCCGGGTCCATATGGACCTCCAGTTGTCCCAACCAGGGTGACAGGTTCAGTCATTTATAGATCAGAGTGGGTCATGTCACACAGTTATACTCATGTTGCTCTCAGTGAAGCTTCGTAGTGAAGTTTGTTGTTTCTGGACATCAACGATCTGTCAAAATCACTGATGCTGAGCTGAAGTTCGGCTCAGTTTAAAGTTCACATCAGGTCCAGTCCTCCTGCTCATTCAGACGTCTCCTTTAGATTCAGATAAAATGATTAACAGGTGGAAACTGTTGGAAATGCACTGATTGCACTTTTATTTCTGGGCTGATTCTGATTTGATTCTTTTTTTCTTTTCTTTTTTTTTCACCGTCTTCTTATTCTTGAACCTCCATTCTTTCTTCCATCCTTCTGCCAATCCAAACATTTCTCCGGTTTTATCTGTAGCCGACACTGGAGCCGAAGCCGAAGGTATGTTTGCAGTAAAGAACAGATCGTTTTATAGAAGCTTTAGCTGCTGGCTTTGCGTAAAAGGCTGAAACCTGAGACGTTTCTGTCTGAAGGCAGCGCTGAGGTATTAGCAAATACAAAAGAAACTGTCCTGGGTTATATAATGGCGAAAATGCTGAGTCAGCATTTGAAATATGCATACTTGCTTTGTTTTTTTGGTTTTTGCCAATGTTTTGCTAATATTAGCAGTTAGCTACTGTGATGCTGGTTTAGGATCGTTACTTTTTGCTCATTTTAATAATTAGCTGCTGCTGTCCTAGTAATTCTGGCTTCTATTGTTTGCTAATAGTAGCTGTTAGCTACGGTTCTGTTTAWTATAGCTTCAAGCTACTGTTTTGCTAATAATGGCTTCTATTTCCTGTTTGCTAATATTAGCATTTAGCTACTGCTCTGCTGGCTTGAGCTTTTACGTGCTTTCTGCTCATTATAGCTTCAAGCCATTGTTTTGCTAATTCTGGCTTCTATTTCCTGTTTGCTGCTTTTAGCTCTTAGCTACTGTTTTGCTGGCTTAAGCTTTTAACTACTTTTTGTTCATTTTAACATTTAGCTACTGTTCTGCTATTTTTAGCTACAAGGTATAGTTTTGCTAATTCTGGCTTTTATTTCCTGTTTGCTAATTTGAGTGTTTATCTACTGTAATTCAGATTTTAGCTCTTGTTCTGACAAGATTCACAGCATTAATAGAAAATAATTTAATTTTTCACCTGCTAGTGTTTAGATGTCATTCTGCTGCTTTTTGAACAGAATTTCAATCCTGAAAAACCACATTGAGCTTCTGTCTCTCTTTTATTGGCACTTTTTTTGCCAACCTGCTTCATGTTTGCTGCTTTCTCTGAAAACTTTCTGATAAGTTTGCTTTCGGCCCTGCTCGCCTTTACGCCGAGTCATCAGTCACTTTAATAAGAATCAGGATGATCTATTTTGGAGTGTAATAATAGAGCCAGGAGGTCTCTGTGTGTGTGTGTCTGTGTGTGTGTGTGTGTGTGTGTGTGTGTGTGTGTGTGGTTATTGTAGCTCATGTTTGACTCTGTAATGATGATGATTTGACTTCCTGTTCTATCATCACGCGGCTCATGAATCAGATCAACATGCTGGTGTAAAACAGCTGTTGTTTATGTTTTGCGATTTCTCCCTACAAACAATACTACGATAAAACAAATACGGTTGAGATAAAAGAACAAACAGCAAGAAAACAAACAAAATCACCAGTGGTGGGCACAGCCAACTAAAATGTTAGCTTTGCTAACTCATAATCTCCTGAAGATATAGCTACACTAATGCTACATTGCTACGCATTTAAACAAATGAAGGGAAGATGACTAAGCAAGTGAAAATGTGCAGAAGCTAACACAAATAGCTAATCGCTAACTGCTAAGACGACTGTCTCCACTAATCATTGGCTGTGTCCAAAACGGCAGGACGGGTCCTCCGAAGGTTGAATTTGTCGGCCGCATACGTCWCAGCGCCGCGACGAAGGCCGTCCAAAACCGAAGACTCCTCCGATGCGGCCGACAAATTCGTCCTTCCTTTGGCCCGAATCGAAGGACAGGTCTGATGGATCCTTCCCGGCCCAGCATATCCCATAATGCATTGCGGCCCGACCGGAGATTTTTTTATGCTAGTAATGGCGGACGAAGCGAGACAAAATAATATGTTTTAAATAAAAATATGGTGATTTAAAATGAAAAAAATTAGCGGTTGTAATTCTAATACTTTTATCATTTGTATGGACATGTTTTTAAATATTATTTTTGTCATAAAAAACGCGAAATAAACATGCACCTACAGCGGGTCAATTAGTTCTTCAAATGATACTTTTAAGTTAATTTTATAGTTTTGTGATATTAATAATGCTAATGTATTGATATTTTTCTAGTTTTGATTTAAGTTTGCTTGTTTAGCTTCGTCACAGTTGCTAGGTGACATGACGTACGCCGGGGTAAGGAGGGGAGGCTAGACCGTCCAAATTCACAGCCTCTTTTTTTCCGGTCTTCCCGGTCTACCAAGGACCCGGCCCGCCRCGACCGGGKAGTCTGGGTCCTCCGGAGGACCCGGCCTGTCGTTTTAGACACAGCCATTGTCTTAGCGGTTAGCAATTAGCAGTCAGTGTTAGCTTCTGCGTATTCTTTGTCTTCGCCTCCTTCCAGCTGAAGACTTGTGAGACTGAAACAAACCTGTTGTTATCTTGTTAGTTAGCCGTTAGCAGATTTAAAGTTGGCCCAGATAAATGCCAACCGCTATGATGTTACTCCTTCTGCGTCACGTGTCTTTATCTCCTCTGAACTGGGCAGAAAAAAATAATTTTTTGCAGAAGCTAATTGGTCCGCTAACGGTTTTTAAAGTTAGTGAAAAGCTAATCCCGCTAAACAAAAAATTTGTTCCACTATTAGCTTATTATTGGCGGTACCATTCTCACCACTGAAAATAAAAAACTATTTTTGAAAGCTATATCAGTTTTAGCTTAAACTTGGCAGATTAAATGTTGTAGCTCAAATTTTAGATAATCTAAGAAGATTTTAAGCATTTTAGGTAAACTTCATAAATTATGTTCTGTGTCCCAAATGACATTAGCCTTCTGTGCAGAACAGCTGATTCTGCTGCTGATTTCTGTTTAGAGTTTATTAGAAATGAGACAAGTTGACAATATAACTATTTATGTAACAAACAGGAGGTTCAGTAGCATGTGGAAGAACCATACGCAGCCACAACAGCCCCCTCCTCGTGTTCCTATGGCTTCCTACTCTTCAACAAGCGTTCGTCTCATGTATATATTTAATTAGATAAAAAATGCGTGTTGAACAATAAGACACTGATGTTGTAAATCAGCCATGGATAAAGGTTTTTTTGGTCAATTAGCTTGAAAGCTGGTATTAAAACGTGTCTTTGTCTTTTCCCTGCAGGATGGGATGTTGATGCCCACTCTGGTCACCCTGTTTGTGGAGCCTCGTGGGTTCTACATGTACTGGTCCACAGGCCCCAACCAGGTGAGATGCAACAACACAGCTGATGTGTTGAATAAAATCAGAAAAAACCAACCTTCATATAGACTCAGATCAGAGTTGAATGAACGAACATGAGAGTTTATCTGACACACCCTGCCTTTTTCTTATTTTATGTCTTTCCTAAGTGCCTTTTTTCCTCTTCCTTTCTCTTCTGAGTCTCTGTGGTTTTCCTCAGTCCATTAGCTCAAATCAAATGTGCCTCTTCAATTTGTTGCGGTCTAGTTTTTTGTCCTGGTCTCTTTTGTTCCGCCTTGTCCCTGATGTCTTTGTGGGTTTTTATCAGCTGTTGCTGGTGCTTCTCTCTCCTCCTCTTCCACATCTTTGGTTTGTTTCGTTTTTTGCCATTAGCGCGGTTAGATTCGATTTAGCCTTTTGGGCCATTTAGACACGATTAACCCGGATGCACTCAGCAGTGAGTCATGTTGGGTTTGGAGGTTTTAGCTTTGGTTGTTTTGTTTTTGCACAGATTTATTCAAAGTGTTGCACTTCAACGTCCTGTCTTTGGTTATATGACTTTAAAGATATCAGTGTGACAATCATATTACTCTTACTTGAAATAATTGCTTTTTATTGTATTTTTGTTTAAAATATTTTATATCAGAGGGATTTCTTATCTTTGCTGCAAATTAAAGTCAATAGTCTCATTTAAATGACTAAGGTTTAGTTATTATTATTATTATTATCATCTATTAAATTTTTTCCCACAAAATTGTAAAACAAAACTTGCATATTTTAAAGGAATGCATTTCTGTTGCCTAACCCTGACCCTTACCCTAAATCTAACCTATGACCCCAAAAACTACATCCCACCATACCAGTCTTTGGTCCCCAAAAGGACTGCTGGTTCTGAAACTATGTGTGTGTGTATACTATCACACAAACACACACACACACACAAAACACTATCACCTTTGTTAATTACATCACTGTCAAAGTCCAAAAGTCCATAAAAGAAATGCCTAACCTAATCAGCGGTGAGCACAGTTCCACTAACAGTAGAACTAGCTTAGCAAATTAGCTATTATGCTAACTTTGGAAACTGTTAGCAGACCGATTAGCTTCTACTAAATTAGCTTCCCCTAATTTTAAGTCCACTAAAATTTTCACGTGTCAAAGGATCCCGAACTAAATAAAACAAAATATAAAACCATTTTTCCTCTTACAAGCAGCGCTGGACGTGTCAGACACCATGTGCGTAGCATGTAGCTTCTTTAGCAGCTAAACTTCAAACTGAGTGTCACAAAGAAATAAAATAACATTTAACAAAATATAAATAACAAATACAAACGTTGACTAAAGTATTGAAGAGTTTTCTTTGTTGTTTGACTAACTTTAAATGGTATTTATAAAAATACAAACTCAATCAAAGAAATGCTTTTATTCTGAAAAGTTTAAACTGGAAGTGTCATAGTTAGAGTTATAACTCTGGTTTGGATTGGCCAATTTTCAACAGATGATCCCGCCCACCTTCAAAATAAACYAGTAGGAAAATAACAACAGGTTTGTGTCTGCCTTCAACTGGAACAATGAAGATGAAAGTCGTTTTTTGTGGTTTAGCATTAACAGAGCTACAATTATTGTTTAGTGGTTAGTGAAGCTAACTTTTTGTGTAGCTGTGCCCACCACTAAGACTGATTAACTTTTGGACTCGCTCGTGTTTTTGCCACAGTTTTAACCGTATTGGTGGTAAAAAAAAAAAAAAAGAGCTGAAAAAGGTGACGAGTTTATCAGAAATGATAACAAACGTTAATCATCGACAGAGTTTGATCACTTTAAACCTTTACGATCAGGAGTTTAGGCCACGCTGCCGTCTTCGTTCATCAGAGTTGCAGCCTGCAGAGCCGCTTCATCGTCTCCACGAAGGGATTCATCGAGCGATCGTCTCACTCGGYGTTAAACGGTGTCACAGCTGCCCCTCGGGCGCCGAACGACCCATTATCTCATTCCTACAAACGCACACTGTGTGTGCAGACACAAGTAAGACGTTAGGGAGAGAAGAAAAAATGAAACAAGCGTGCTGACAGACGAGCCCTGACCCAGATTTGTACACTCCAGAACACATGGACACAATCTATAGGAAGACGGGACGCAGTGATAACAAACAACGGGTCGATGCTGACGAGCCTTTAGGACAAACAGGCTGATGAAGCCACGGTGTGTTTATTATTCAGGAAGGAGGTAATTAAACCTTGTTCCAATAGGGTTGGCAAAATCAAATTGTGTGCAAATTATCAGAAAAACTGCCAACAATTAACATTTGCCACTTTGCAGTTATTGTAATTAATACCACATGATGACAAATTTTTGTGTGCGACTCACTCTCACTGTGAAGCACACACCTGTGGCGTATTTCAACTCACAGCTTACATCCTGTTAAAATCAAGAAGCTTTAACCGATTAATAATCAAAAATATGCAATTGTCACGTATAAATCATTAATTATTGGCTAAATTCCACAATTAATTGTGATTAATTTTGCCCAACAATACGTTCCAACTAAGACGGGTGGAAATAACCCATCAACTGTTTGTTTTAGAGTTTAAACTGTAAAATAGAGAATTTGCATTTCCTGTTGAAAATGCGGTGTAAATGCATATTGCTAAAACACAGGAAGCTGAAAGAAGTGGAAAGTGGCAGACAGATGGTGAAAAGAGAGAAAAGATTTTAATTGGCAGAAAAACGAGAAACGGAGTACAAAAAATTATAATTTGCTTGTTGTAAAATAGCTAAAACAGCTTAAATTAACTGAAAATTTAGAT